TGAAAAGTTCATTATAAAAACAATTCATTGAAAATTCATTATACGAAATTTTGATGAAAAAGAAATTTGTTGAAAGTTAAAGTTTGTTGAAATAATTGAAAAAGTTTAGTATAAAAAAAGTCTGTTGAAAAGTTCGTTATAAAAAATTTTGATGAAAAAGTTCGTTATAGGAAAGTTCATTGAAAAAGTTCATTATAAGAAAGTTTGTTGAAAAAGTTTGTTATAAAAAGTGTTTATTGTAAGAAATTTTAATGAAAAAGTTCATTCGTTAAAAAAAGTTATAAAAAGTTTGTTATATCTAAAGTTGATTGTACAGATAGAAAAACAATAAATCGAATAATATTGTAAGATCTGATAAAAACTAAGTGGATTGAAAATCATATAACTGCTCTCTTGATTATTGGTGATGCTGGTGTTTTTAACCCATATGTAACTGGGTTATTCACTACATACCCATATAATAATATATAGTTATTTGATAGTTCTGATCATAGTAGGATATTGGATAACTATAAATTATTCTATAAGTACTATGTAACAACCTGTGCTTTTTCTCTTACGTTATTCTTACCAGTTTAAATGAAAATCATGATTTCATATAGACTGGTTAAAATATTTTTTAAGTCATAATATGTTGTCAAAATGACTTAAGTTCTAGTTTTAAAGTTACATCAGCAAAAATACCATTTTATTTATTTTTTTTTTCAAATGCTTAAATGAAATATTTTAAATTCTTATTGATTGTTACTATATGACTTTAGAGCAAATTTTTGTTTGTGCAATAGTTCTATTTGGGGCGAAAGAGTTAAATTCTTTTGGCCAGTACGATAATACTATTTGTGGCTGGCACAATAGTACTATTTAAGGCAAAAAGATTTAAAATTCTCTTGGTTGATGTGATAGTATATTAGTACAAAAGGTTTTAAATTATTTGGTTAATGTAATTGAATATATTATTGAGGGCAAAATTTCTCTTAACTTTACTATAGTAATTTTTATTTTTATTATTATTTGAACATTGTGACAAACAAAAGATTTTGAAAATTCATTTGCATAATTTGAAAAAGGTTTTATGCTGACATGAATACTTTTTGAAAATTCTTTTTGCTAACTAAAATTCTTGTAAGTCATGCAATAGTACAACTAAGGATTATAGGTTTTTAAAATTCTGTAGGCTGCTACAATAGTATTTTTTAGAACAAAAGGTTTTAAAATTCTTTTGGCAGTAACGATAGTACTCTTTAGGCAAAAGCTTAGCTGACAGGTGTATTATTTAAGGTAAAGTTAAAAGCTTTTGGCTGACATATTATTTAGAACAAAATTTAAAAATTACTAGTACTATTTAGAAAGACTTTAAAATTCTCTTGCTATTTAATTGAAAGGTTTAGGATTTTTGGTTGGTATGATAGTCTGATTAAAGTAAAAGTTCTTAAAATTTTTAGTAATAGATAAAAATTTTTTTTTGTGTAATTAAGGAATAACAATGAAAGAGCATAAAATAGAAAACAAAATTTATTTAAATACTTATTATTACGTCATAAAATCTCTTGAAGGTTGCATAGATTGTTATGTTGTACCTATGGTACTTAATATGTATTGGTAACTACATGGCCGAAGGCCATGTAATTTTGCTATCAACCTATGAAATACACTGTATTTGTTCTGCTTCAATCACCGATTTTGCAGATTATTAATCGAATCACATCACTCTTTAATTTTCACCAATCGAAGATTGAATTAAATCAATTTTTAATGCAATTAGCCATTAAATTTATTATACTCTCACTATAGCATCACCAATTGATTATGTATTCTTGTATTGATTTAAAAAAGAAAAAAAAGAGATATTAAAACTTTGTTATTTTTTTATTAATCTAAAATCTTTCACAAATATTTTATTAATTAGTCTTTTGTAAATATTTTCCTTAATAATTATGGAACCTCAAAGATACAACTTTTTGTCCCATGAATCTTTTGACTATATCCTAGAAAATTTCGTTAGTCAAAGGAAAAATAAACGTTGTTTAATAGATTTAGATCGTTATCATAAGTGCTTGAATGTATTGAAATATCCAAATGATCCACATAACCTAACTTTCAAATACTGGTTCACTCACACTTTTAAAATCCTTCTTATTGATATGACTAAAAAAACTTCATTTATGCAAGCAAGTTGGGGATAATCTAGGGACACATATCTGTCCTGTTGAAAACTTCTATGAAATAATTTGCTCAGCGCATCAAGCAACTGAACATGCTCTACAAAAAAAGCCTGATCAGGATTCTTATCAAGTTGGTTGTCAATTTGAAGTACTTGAACATTGGTATCCTGTGAGCAAACTTGAG